CGCGGAAACGGGTACGGGTATGGGGAGGTGTCCCAGTAGCGAGTACAGGTGTGGGCACGGCCCCAGTAATAGGTACGGGTGTGGGCAGGGGTCCCCGTAATGGGTACGGGTATGGGGAGGGGTCATGGTGACAGTTACGGGTATGGGGAGGGGTCCCGGTAGTGAGTACAGGTGTGGGCAGGGGTCCCAGTAACAGGTATGGGTGTGGGCAGGAGTCTCCGTAATGGGTACGGGTATGGGGAGAGGTCTCGGTAACAGGTACAGGTATGGGGAGGGGTCCCGGTAACAGGTATGGGTATGGGGAGGGGTCCCGGTAGCAAGTACAGGTGTGGGCAGGGGTCCCAGTAACAGGTATGGGTGTGGGCAGGGGTCCCTGTAACAGGTACGGGTATGGGGAGGGGTCCCGATAACAGGTATGGGTATGGGGAAGTGTTCTGGTAATGGGTACGGGTATGGGCAGGGGTCCCGGTAGTGGGTATGAGTGTGGGCAGGGGCCCTGGTAACAGGGATGGGTATGGGGAGGGCTCCTGGTAGCAAGTACAGGTGTGGGCAGGGGTCCCGGTAACAGGTATGGGTGTAGGCAGGAGTCCCAGTAACGGGTACGGGTATGGGGAGGGGTCCCCGTAATGGGTACGGGTATGGGGAGGGGTCCCCGTAATGGGTACGGATATAGGGAGCGGTCCTGGTAACAGGTATGGGTGTGGGGAAGGGTCCCGGTAACGGGTATGGGTGTGGAGAGGAGCCCCAGTAATGGGTACAGGTATGGGGCAGGGGGCTCCATAATGGGTACGGGTGCAGACAGGGGTCCCAGTACCAGGCATGGTGTGAGTGGAGGTTACAGTAACGGGTGCGGGTGCAGCTGGGGGATTCCTGTTGCAGGTAGGGGTAGGGGGTGGGGGGCTCCCAGTAAGAGGTACAGGTTGGGGGTCCTGGTAAGGAGTGTGGAACGGAGGTCCCTGTCATGGGTATGGCGTAGGGTACCCCTTGTCGTCACGGCTAGGGCCCACGGGGTGTCCTGTGTCACGGGTATGGTCC